ATAAGTGTTTGGCTTCAACGCCAAAAGTCGTGATTTTGGTTCCCACACGCGACAAGTATAGGTATGTGCGCCACAGATTTTTTTTTTATTTGTTAGGAAACCGTTTCCCTTAATTTAGGATAAAAGTACGCTATAAGTATTACTAATTTCATATTGTACAGTAAAGTACATGTTCCATTGCTAGGCAAAGGCCCCCTCTGTACAGAGGGTATCAGGGCATAGTCCACCACGCGGCCCCACTGCGGATTAGCGGACTTCACATATCTTCTAAATATTTAATTTTGTTTCGAAAACATGCGGGTTTCCTCACTATGTTTTTCTTCACCGCTGAACACACGTGATAAGTTTGCACTTGAAGTTAGCAATTTCATTGAAGCCGGCACTGGAGATCGAACTCAGATTGCTAGAGTATATTGAATTAAAGGCGAGCGCCCGGATACTGAGCTATCACTGCTATATATTCGGTTACATATATATTTGCATATAAAAACAATATAGTATCAACACTTTATACCAAAGGCTGGTGATAGTAATATTGTGCATATTATATAAGGCACTTTCCAGTCCGTACCACAATCAACCTTAGGCCTATGGAGAATTGCTCCGCGACAAAAGAAAGAGCGACAAGTATATTACCATTCGAATATCACTCCAAAGGCAATAGTTCCATACTCTTCGATTAACTGTTCTCGATCACTGATTCATAACGCTATAGAGTTGTTAAGTTGTAGATAAAAATGAGTAAGTATTGGCTGCGGTCGATTTGACGATTTGTTTGGCTACAAATTTTATGATGCCATAAGCATGTATTTACCACCGATGTTTGATGTTTTATGATGAAACTAATTAAAAACGTTAAAGAGTTTTTCAGTTCAATGGGATGGTAACTGGTGGAGCGATGTTTGTAATTTAAAATGTCTATGATAAATAGTCGAAAAATTTTTCACCGCTGCCGAGACTAGCATATTAAGAGAATAGCACTAAAAATAAAGCTAATTATAAACGTGTCTGTAAAGTTTATGTAAAGTGTGAGTTGTCGTTCGATGACTCACAAGACCAGAGATTTTGAGCATGCGTGGCGGAAAGCAATCATAATGCGCTCCTTTTTTATGTGAGAAGGTCGCAAGCGAGCTAGCGACCCACCTGATGTCAAGTGATTACCGCCGTCCATGGACATTGGAGCTACCTCGCTCACCAGACGAAACGCAGAAGAACAACAGTTCCACTTCGGTCTTCAGGTCGTGGTACTTCCCCTGACGGGCCTGTCTGTTCCTGCAACAGTGAAGAATGGTGCGTAGCCCTACGTCATCAATCACTATTATCGATTCCTGCTATATGTTTTCATTTTGCAAGGCTTACTCACGGTAAATGGCTGTCTAAGATATTACTCACTCTGTGGCAAGTGTGGCAATGTCAACATGGCGTGCTCATTCCAATTAAACTTTAATTGCTCATAGCACCACATGCACCCATTGGAGCCCATTGCATCGCCCTTGAAGCGGAATATTATAGTTTCTATTCCAAAGTCCTTAGGTCGACTTTCGCGTGAGTCGTGAAAGGACGTAGGACTTTTTTAATTAAGTTGGTGCGAAGAATTGTTCAATTTAATACAAAAAAAAGCTTTTGGTCTTTGTTAAGTGGAGATGTTTCGACAAGTCTCTGCCACGCTTAACGCGCTGCGTAATCGATAATAAAAGTTCAGTAACTTCTATTATCGATTACAGTGGAAATTTTTTATTATCTTTCTTTTGAGTCCGTAAAACGAATATTGGTTTTCTTCTAGCCTAAGATACTGAAGTGTTATAACAATCTAGCTTGGGATAGGGATTGCTGGATCTTCGGTAGCTGATCTATGGCTTACACACAAAAACGAGGCCAGGGAAATCGAAGTATTTCAAATAAAATCTAATCTTCATACTTATTCTTTTTCACCTAGATGAGATGGGCACAACACATGAATCGTGTTATGTCTAGTTTTCTTACGACTGGCCCCCTGCCTCACTTCAACCATCTCCCCGTAAAAATAAAATTAAATACCTTCTCAATTTTAAAGAAGAAGTAACGACCAACACAAATTACGGAGCAAAAATGTTTAATTAAAAATAAAAATGCAGGTAAAGTAAATTAACAATATATACTTACATTACTTGACCCACGGTTGGAAAAAGTCATATCACTATATAGTCTGCCACGTAAATTGAGAGATTAATTGAGGGAGACTGTATAGTGACTTTTTAAATATTCCTTTATATACTGAAATAAAGAGAGATTTTGGACACGGAATACTTAGAGATACAGAAATGCTAATAAAAGTATTTCCAACAATTGAAAAATTGTTAATATTAACAAATATTTAAAAAATACATATAGAACTAGACTAACATGGTTCTTTTCAGCGACGATAACTAATCTTTTAGTAAATTGAGTTAACATAAGTTTGAGCCGGTTTCATCCAGTTATCACCGGATGACGCAAATTGTTAAGACAAATAACAACAATTTGTTTGTCATTTATTAAGCGAGACAAAGTCATAATTCGATGATTAAATACGGAATGTTTTTAGCGGCGGCTGATATTAGAACCTGGTGATATTTTGGCTTAAAGGTCTTGTTACCAGGTCATAAAATCTTTATTAAAAAAAGAACATTGTGATGAAATGCCATTCATATCATTTAACTTTTAGGTATGGACATTAGCTGATGTACTATTTATATTAAGATGAGATGAGATGATTTTAGTGGCTGAAAATAACTAAGTATCCTTCAACCAGGCCGTCTACCAGCTAAACATAGCATATCTAAGTTTATCATATTTTATTTAGAAAAAGTAAATAATTAGTTTTTATTACTTTATTGTTTATAGATTGATACTATTTTATTGTTTATAGATTCGCTTTATGTTATAGTATGTTTAACCAAATTTGAAACGGTATATTTTGAATATTCATTCCCACATTCAGTTGATACAATGTAAATGTGTTGATAAAACTTATTACTATATAATAAGTACTTTATGGAGTATACCCCACTACATGGGATAATGAAATGTATAATTTTGTACTTCTATACATTTATTGCATATTTATCATATCACAGACTAACTTTCCAATGGGTAGACACATTTTATCCAAAAAATCTACATATATATTGAAAAATGGCAGCGGACAAACACTGTTTTACAATAAATGATATTAATAGACTTAAAGATACTTAATTAGTAATATATTACTTAAAGTGTTCATGAAAATGTTAACAAAAAGTACGGTATAAAACGAACGGGTAAAGATTGTAAAGGCGTTTACAAATTTTTTGCACCACATGTAGTAATGTTTTATGACACTCTTATTAATATAATCCTGCGTTGGAGAACGTTTAATATTATAAGATAGATTTTAAATTATTACATAATTATTATGAAATGAATTTTTTGTTGACAAACAAATAAGGATATTATACGTAAGACAGCTTTTAATATTAAAGTTATTAACCAGGGCATATAATCAAATTCATAACCAATACATTTTCCAGCCCGTGAATTTTTACTAAAGATTAGGCGTGATTGGAAGTCTTATTCCTTGTTAAAAAAAAATGCATAACGGGAATATATATAGTCTATTATTATGCTATCTTGGTTGTTTTCAATATCAATGATGTTTTATACATGACGCGTTTCCATACTGCGCGGCGTTTAAAAATTGTTGCGCTTTACATTATATGACATATATAAGTGAATGTGACAGATGATATAGAAAGTATGATACGGAAAGAGAAAGCAGTTTATAGAATTGAAATCTAATAACACCAATTGGTGTTATTTGAGCGACTCAATTCCGTTGCTCTAGTGTAATATCTACACCATATTCGTATATAATATCATTGTTTCCTACATGTTGAGGCATCAGTTGTATTGAAAAAAAGTTTCTTTCCGTAAATTTCAATATTTGGTTTAACACTTGCAATTACAAAGAAAATAATTTAACAAAATAATTTTTTTTTTAAGACGTAGATCAGATTCAGAATAAGGTTTGTTGAAGTAACTTTTTACATAATTATCTAAATAAATTTTGCATTAATCTCTAAATTAAAAATAGATCTTCAAAATAGTTTACTCTACATCCCTACGCAAATATAAGATAATTTAACAAACAACAGTTGTTAAATACATTGCTCTTTTTGAGCGAAGAGTTTGGCAATTAGTATAAACACACACACAGATAATAATCACAGCTAAGCAAATTAATCACAAAATTATTTTGTACAAAAAAATATTACTTGTCATGTAATTAACTAATTGTATCAATAAAATCTATTTTATGTAACTAATGCAATTCATTATTTTAGTCAAAGTACATCTTAATAAATAAACCAAGGCAAGAAAGAGATTAAAACAGTCTTTTTCCTGTTATTTTGGTTTTACAATTAGGTATGCTTAAGATAGATTTTATTTCACTTCGTCCTTCGGCTATTAGTCTCGCACTCTCTTACACTCTATATAGAATTAAGACCTATTAAAATTTTAAGCGACAAAATCAACTAATCCATTCTAGCCAAGTATATTGAAAAGAATAAATATTTTTATTTCTCATAAATTTTTATCAGCGGTTTACAAAGCATGTGTTCATGTAGAACACAATTTCATACGATTTGTCCTGAACATTTTTATGCCGAACTCTCATGCTGCTACCGTTCAGAAACTGCTTGTAATTCAGAAAACTCAACGACCACATCGAAAGTGAAAAAACCAGAAAACAATTTTACAAAATAGTCTTTTTTATCCAGATTTGTTGCGCAAAAGAACAAGATAGTTTCATCCACACGAAAGTTAAAAACCCGTCTGTAATATAAAACAATATAAAAAAACTAGTTTCTATTAGATTTGTCGCATTTGTAGTAATATAGTTTTATCAATCACTGCCAGTATCGAAACAATCGTATAAAACGGCCTAGCAATACTTTCGAGATCTTTTCCGTCTTCGCTTCTGTCTGCTGTCTTCTGTTTTACACCGGCTCCAGCTTGCCTCTGTCTCTCTGACGGAGGGAACCCCTGGTGGATGCTCGGACAGAAGCTCGGATTGAGGCCCTCGAGCCAATCGCGCTAGGCATGGCCCTCACGAAGCTTGGACGGTCCTGACCAATCGGCAATGAGGCCCGCTTCTGATATCGCTCCATTTTCTCTTCATCGTCGGATTTCCTGTACATATATAAATGGAAAATACGGATAGAAAAAAAAAAACAAAAAAGTTTTGTATTATTAATTTTATCGTTCTTCTTTAATATTAGGTATGTTTTTTTACTAAAGCGAGAGCAACCTATTACACGCATTTGTAAAAACATCTAACTCTCATCTTTCTCTACAAATGTTTATCGTAGAATATTCTTTGTGAGGTGTTGTATGCTGTAAAGGATACATACTAGATGGCGCCAAGCATTGGTAAAAACACAATAGAAATAACGTAGATAGATGTCGAGAAATCAGTTGTCGAAATTTTCGGGCCGTGAGGGTTAAGGTCTTAAGGCCTTAGGACTTAAGGTCTTAAGGCCTTAGGACTTAAGGCCTAAGGTCTTAAGGACACTTAGTTTAGTTGATAAAGCATATGGGGGCGAAACCAGAAAACACAGCTTCGAATCCCGCAGCGCCGAAAGCCCACCCAGCAGCTTCTTCATCTATTTTTCCGACGAACTGATCTCAAAAAGCCCACCCAGCAGCTTCTGTTGTTATATTCAGCATTAACGGTAAAAGTAAATACATTTAAACAGACTGATATGTGATGTGATTGACTCAGCAATGCTGCGTGTCACAGTTAATCGAATTAAGGCAGGTGAGGTCGAGTAAACACTTGTATATGCAACTCATCAAATAGCACGTCATTTACGTGATTATATTTACATATTTACTATACGGACTGGTACCTAAAGGCGGTTAAAACTAAACTATATAATCTGGTTTCGACTAGAGCCCGTCACCCATCACTTATATGTGGAGACAGCTCTTGATTAGTAGTATGTATATGAAGTTGTTGATTCTAATGACTGGGTCGCACTCAGACATTTAACGCTGATTTCAAAATTAAATTTGCATAAGCCTAGATTCTTGTAATGTATATTTAAGGCAGAAATTTACAAAAGAAATAATTTAATACGATTACAACTTCTCCTAATTTTGACCTTCAGAACTTTTTCAAATAATTCACAGAACGACGCTAAATAGGTTTACGATAAAGATTATATTACACCACGACTGCAGCCTTCGATAGCTAGATTTATAAAAATAATATTAAGTCAAGCATTAATATGTACAATAACAAAAATATTAAATTACTCTAGAGTAACATTCATATGCGCACAAAAAAAGAAAAATGTAAATGGCAATATAATAATCTTCGAGCTAAGTTGGAGTCCATCGCAGATACCTGGAGAAGCAGGGGTTGTCCCAGAACCTCTGGTCCTTTCCGAAGTTCTCGCCATCTTGCAGAGTTTGCGGCATCTCCGTGTCCATTGTCTCGGGCAGGAAGAGACATAGCAGGCCGCCAAGCACCCCCAACGCTCCTAATATCAGCAGCGGCAGGTCTTGGGAGAAATTGGCCTGTAGATGACAACATTGTGCATTGCATAATGGTGATGATTTTTTAAAGAACGTACAACGGGTTCACCGTTGTACGTTGGCCAAGTTGAACAAACATGGCTACCAGAGAAATTTCAAATCCCAATGTTGGCACCAATGAAATTGCCAAGCGCCGATCTACAATCATCGAGCAACGAAGGGAACATCATAAAGACACTCACTTATGAAAAATCCAAAAAAAAAATATAAATTTAGTCAAGTTAACCTGCTCAGGTGGTCTAAATCAAATATGGACCGTATATACTGTTTCTTCAATAATAAAAGAACACTCCTGCAAACTGTTCCTAGTAAATTGAACTTTTGACCACCACTACCGCTGAGTAGATCGGTGTCCTAAGTTAGTGCTATTAAAACTAAAATAGCTTCGCCCATGAAGTGGATTCCTTCACGACATGTGTCGTCATCCATTCCATTGGCGAAGAAAATTATCAAGGTGGTTGACCAGCGTCGTTTACTGTCAAATGAGACTGGAAATACACAGCTCAGGCTCACCAGGTAGACGACGAATGGCGCGACTATGGACGCCACGTAGCCCATGATGTGGATGAGTGCGACCCCCTGGGCCCTCACCACAGTCGGTAGCAGCTCCGCCGCGTACTGAAGGCCGATGTTGTACGATATGTTGACAGCGAAGCGGCCCATTATCGCCAGCGAAGCGGACGGACCGCCTGGTAAATGAAATAGACGTTTCCTAGCACCGTATATTCATCATCAAGATCCTCCTGACCATATCCAACTTAGTAGTAAGTGGTATGGGATTTTTACGACCAACTGCCTGACGTCGACCCTCCTTGGAAACCAAGGCCCGAACCCGGAACGATAATCGAACCCACTGCCCTGGGCTTCTAGCTTAACAGCTGCGCCCCCGGGTCCGCATATTATTTTCGCTAATATTTATGTAGCTTTTGAAACCTTAAAAAGTGGACGTAACCTGGACGCGGATATCAGTGCGCGTTTTTTTTTGCGTAAAGTTTCTCAATTCAATGGGAGCTTCGAAAAAGCTCAACGGTGGTGTATGAGACCATTAAATAAACCATCGTTGAACATGAAAATATACTATTGGTGCAGAAAGCGGAAAAAGAAAGCGACAACTGTGCGAGGAATACCTTCACTTTTGAAGACTACCTTCACTTGTTCACATTTTTAAAATACATATGCAATATTTTCTCTTCAAGATCCGAAGCCGTGATTGCTTGATCCTTAAGCTTCCTTAAGCGCAGGTTGTTGCTGTGTCCACACTTGGTTTTGGGGCAATTGGTAGCACGGAGATGAAGACGAGCATAACAGTTTTGGCAGATAATCTTGTAACAGTTGTATTTCATTGCCAAGGAAGGCTCAATAGTACCTCCTCGAAACCCCTGCACCAAATAAAGTGTAGATTCCTTCTGGATGTTACTTTCAGTTTCTCCGCTTTCATTCGTTTATGCAAATTCTCAATATTCTGTTGTATTATGACATTCATACATTCTTTATAAAAAAACTTAAACGAAACTATTTTTTATGAAAATTCTACTCGTCTGCTTTAAGTCATTAGCGGGAAACATTAAGGATACCAACATTACAAGATCTCAGGGTGTTACACGCTCTTTCCGCGTAGATAAATAATCATAAAGTTTGATGTCCACCTTTTTTTTTTTATGTGAGAAGGTGTCAACCGAGCTGGCAGTTCAGCAGTGATAACCGGCGGCCCATGGACATTTGTAACAGCCGTACGATTGTAGATGCGTTGAAATCTTTTAATAAAGGGGGCCAGATTACTTCACTGACCAAACGAATCTCAGAAACGTAATACTTTTACTTCACGCCGGTTAAAAATCTCGTCGGCATTATTTTAAGAATCTATTTATCGCGTATATTGATTGTGTGTGTGTATTCATTCATTGATAGAGGCTGTTTCAAAAAGGATATCTTATATACTTTTGAATATAATGGTACTCATAAAACAAAAAAGTCGAAAACACGCCGACATTTGGGATCCAGGTCTCACGTTCAAGGAGGTCATCAGAAATTGAGAAAATGTTTACTGACCAACTGGAACCGCTGTCGCTAGCAGACTGAAGATGCCACTGAGGACCATGGACCCGCATGCCAACCATCTTCTTCCCCACCTGAATGAAAACGGTTAAATGAACATGACAATTCTAATTATGACTTTGAGGGTGATTTATTAGTTAGTGATGATACATGGTTTAATAGGTAGTGATGATAAACATTGTCACATATCAGTACAAGAATTCCTAAATATTTAAATAATACAAAAAACTGAATGCGTCAAAAAGACAGAAGTAAATTATAGGATATGAAACTAAAAATTCTCGCCTATCGACCATAGGGAGAGTCAGTTATAATTTACTTTTTAGTAGGCGGAAACAGTATTCTACTTTACGTGATTCTTAAATACTGTTAACGCCTTTTCCACATGCATATTCCTACATATTTCTAGGTTACAGGTGTTATACATATATACGACACGACATTCATACATATAATGTACGACATTCCACCTACACTTTGTTAAATATTTTTACACGATTCTTTTATTTTAGTTCCACTTCTTCCGTTAAATTCCAAACCACTGAAACCTTTTGATTAATAAAAGCTATATTGCTTTTATTCTTTGTCTAGTTCCTTTTATAAATCCTAATAACTATCTACATAATATCGCATAAGACAAAAATCATGTATGCCGATATGACGCAGTTATGGTTCACTTTTTTGCTATTAGCTGTTCGTTATATCGGAGGACAAAAGCAAATCACTACATAGTATAAAACTTAGTCGTCCCGCCTGTCTGTCCATATGTATGCTTAGATCTTTAAAACCACGCAACGGATCTTGATGTCGGTTTTTACTAGATAGAGTGATTCAAGAGGAAGGTTTATATGTATATTACAGTGCACCCGTGCGGAGCCGGGGCGGGACGCTAGTTAACGATAAAGGACATGTCAAATTCTCTCAGTACCTGTCCAGCACCGCTGTCAAGAACGTGTCAGCGGGGAGTTCGGTCGCTGACGCGATGGTGAACGTGAGGAATATGTCCAGCCCCAGGGACCCCACATTCCTCACGTGCCCGTCGAACACCAGCGAGATGGCCATCCATATAACGATTAGCAGTATCGCGTTCCTCCTTAGTCGAGGGGTTCTGAAGAGGTCCAGCACGGAGTAAGTGCGTGATTCGGCTTCGCACTCCTTGATAGTTTTCAAGGACGACTCCTGCAAATGATGTGCAAAATGCAAATGATTCTTTCTCCATGATCGATATTTGTTAAATATTCTTATGTTAGCTTCGCCCTTGTTTGTATATGCATATAAGTTGTGTGCGTTTGAATTTTCATCTCACAATGAGAATGTGATAATCAATTATCATCTTCTAGGTTTTCCTTCTCTCGGCTAACACTTTCTCTTAATAATAAACATATGGTTTTTTAAGCTTTGCGTCATTAAATATACCAGATCTTAAGATCGTTCATTTCTTTTGATAAAAAATCATTAAAATTATATAAAATGTTACTTTTACTAAATAAAACTTAATCCTTACCATCATATCTGGTTAGGTTGTTTTTTGAATTGATTAAGCAGTTTAAAACAATGTTATAACATATTATGATGTCTCAAGTATAGGTCGCATAGCAATTTTCCGTACCCAAAGGGTAAAACGGGACCCTATTACTAAGACTTCGTTGTCTCTCTCCGTCTGTCACCAGGCTATATGTCATGAACCGTGATAGTTAGAAAGAATAAAAAATGTTTAAGTGGGGCTTCTATATAACAGATAAGATTTTTATTACCGTTTGTTATAGATAATGGTACGGAACCCTTCGTGCGCGAGTCCGACTCGCACTTGACCTGTTTTTATAGAAAACGTGGCAGACGAAAGTGCGATCCACCTGGTGTTAAGAGATTTTTCATTTTTCATGAACATCTCAACCAGCGGGATAACCGTTAAATTGCCAAGTTGCTGCGTGACCCTACCACGTTGCAGTCTATACACTAACGCCCGGTTTCTGAAACACTGATCATCGTAGATGTTAACTAATCAGCTGTCAAGTGGCTTTTCAAATATCATTTGAGTTGCCAAAAGGATGGTTAAAGTCTTTGAATTGATCATTCGGATCATTAAGAAAATCATTCTGGGCAATTCAGAGAGTTAAGCATCCTTTTGGCAAATAAAATTAAATTTGAAAAGCCATTTGACAGCTGACTAGTTGACATCAACGATGATCAGCGTTTCAGAAACCGGGCGTGAATGTTCTTTCCTCCACTGCAGTATTTGCATTATCATTAGTATTATTTGATAAAATTAAAGCAAAATAATTAGATTCAGCCGCTGACTCGTGTCCACTTCCGATGTACTCACGGTAAACTCGCTGAGCACTTTGTCAGGTATCTTCGTCTTGTTTATCTTCTCGAATTTCTTCATGATAGTCAGTGCCTTGTCTATTTTACCCTGCGACACCAACCAGCTGAAAGGAGAAGCCTAAAATTAAACATTGTTTCGATCTTACAGATTTAGATAGATTAAAAGGACCATAAAGAATGAAAGACTCTATAAGTATACAAAAAATTCTTTTAATTCTTCTAATAAATTATTTATTTTTTATTAAATCATAATCTATAGCTTTAACGATAATCGGTATTCAAGTATACGACGGCAATATTTTTAAGACAGTGCATATGCGTTTTTTGTCAAGACTTGAAAATGTTTCCTGTGTCGTGGAGGGTTTAACAAACAAGAAATAATACATAAATACACGCATATTCGAAAGAACCGACCACATAAAATTTGGGGGGCGTGGACCACTGGAACATCTCCGCAGTCTACATTGAGTCCTGGCACTTACCGAGCACTTTCTGGCACCAGCCAAGGGGTTGCCAGCGCTAATATGAACGGAGCGCTGGTGCCCAGAGCGAAGATCCGCCAGTCGTCCGCCAGCAGAGCTATCCAGGGCAGCAGTGAGGCAGCTAGTGTGAAGAACAGAGCGATCGACATGTTCGCGACGAAAGTGCGCCATTTTGGGCCCACGTATTCCAGCACTGGAATGAAACGAGGACTTCTGAACCTAAGCTTTATTCACGGATTGTTCATGGAGTACAAGAGTATATCTGTTGAACACGAAAGGTGTCCGTGCACGTCGCTAATGCTATAACCCTCGACCTCAAATCGGTAAGCAGACATTCCGGTCATTGGTTCATCATGGTCGTACAAATGTTTTCCATTTCTTATAGACATATTCATGTATTGATTGCGTTTATTTCGTTAAATTTATTTACATAATAATCGATTTCGATACTGTGAAATGGGTCAATCGATAAAATATTATTTATTATTTCTACATTTTTTTTTCGCTTCGCGGCAGTGTCACGAAATCTAGTGCATTTGGCAGCGTGACGGTTGATCTGGACCTAGGTTATTTAAACGTCACAAGGATAGACTGGTCCGTGACCGAAGGTTTGCGACGAAGCGAACGGTGGACCAAGGTCCTTTGTCCACATTTGCATTGTATGTATGTACACAATAAAATCTCACAGATAAGATACATAAATTGCCGGTTTAATAGTGGTTTCTTTTCTATGCAAATTCTTTGCAGAATAATTCATGGTAAAGGAAAGGGCTGAGGTGTTTGACGTTTTGATGTCAATGTTGCTTCGGGCTACAGTCATTAAAAACCTTTGAATTTGTAAAATAGATGTATTTCATGTGTGAGACATTTTAACAAGGTGACGATGCAACGCTGTTATTAATAAAGTGAACGACACAATTTCAAAATATTGAATAAGATATACTCAAAAAGCATTCAGACTATTTTCGATTCTTTGGTAAGCACATACATATTTCTCTCCGACCAGGCGGATGGATAGACATAGTCCCCCTCGGTGAAGCCAAGAGGAACCTACAATGAGTGTGTGAGGTAAGGCCGCCCATGCGAGCTGCAATTCCTCGTTCGATAAAACCAATCAATATTCCAGTTTAAGGATTTATTGCTTAAGAGTTGCTATGGTACATATACGACATCTGGAGTTTTTCATATAATAGCGGGTTGAAGAAGACTCACCTAGGATGTACATCATAGTGAAGCAGTTGTCGAAGGCGAAACCCACGAGGAACCGGCACACGGCGAACGACCAGAAGCTGCTGCAGAAAGCGGTGCCTATCCCGGCGGTGAACCCCATCGCGTTGGTACCTGGATTCGTTATGAGTTATACGGGCGGTAGGGATCGAGTGCTGGTCTCAGGGCAATGAAGTTTATTAATATATTAGACTCTAGTTTTTACCTTAAAGGAAGATGATTGCGCAATGATCTTTTTACAAACGTGATAGATATAATAGTAACAAATGGCGAACCTATCATGCGTAGAGTACAAATTTAGGAGGCAGATAATTGCGAACATGAAGTTTATTTCTTGCACGTACCCCATCGGCAAGATTGCAAGCATAACTAAACAACTAGACAAAGAGGATATTAATGTGGATTTCAATAAATCACAGCATTTTCAAACTAAAATGGGCTTGACAGGGACAGTAACATGCTTCATTTGTCTACTTCGAGACATCTTTTAGATGTCAGTTAATCACTGTTTGATCCACGAAACATCTCTTTATATGATAAAGATCCTTCTTTATGTTATGGCGCAGAATCGAAGAACATACTATCAAAGAAGGAAAGCCTTCGCCTTTCTTCTTGGCTTTGCTTAGTTTCAAGATGAAATGTACCTTCGCTAAATCTGGAACCTATATTGGCTTTTCCAATGGCATTTCACAACTTTCTCAACTCCATTAGCTTATTAAGACCCAGGAGATGCCTGTGCAACTAGGTCAAGGAAGCAATTCATATCAGACCCTTACCAACTAGTGCTGGTATTCTTCCGTATTTATCCGCAATCCAACCGAAAACCAGTCCACCCACAATTGCCCCGCAGAAGAAGATAGCTTGTGCGGTCGCTGCCAGGTTGTCCTTCTCGCACACCCAGTCCAACTGCAACAGACAAAGGAATTGGTTACTACATTTTATCAAAGAAACTGCAGTATGTGAGATACATTAAGGAAGATTTTTGGTTTAATAACCTCTCGCTTATACAGGCATTCGGCTCCAAATTGAATTTATAAACGAATGCGACGATTTTTTAACCAGAATATATTGTAGCAATGTCTTTGGTGAAAGAGCAAGTGAAATTTCGCCCGTCTTTTTGTTTCGCTAGTAAAATCGAACTGACAATATTTTAAGCACGGACTAAAAAAAATTTTTTTTTGTTCATCAATCAAATATTAATGAACAAAAAAAATGTTAAATTTCAAATCTTGTTAGTTTTCTAGTCCGTCAATTAAAGGGGTTTTTACGAATTCATAAGTGGTATAACAAAAAAAAATTTACACAACAACAAAAAACCTTGTTAAATTTCAAATCTTGTTAGTTTTCTAGTCCGTCAATTAAAGGGGTTTTTACGAATTCATAAGTGGTATAACAAAAAAAAATTTACACAACAACAAAAAACCTTGTTAAATTTCAAATCTTGTTAGTTTTCTAGTCCGTCAATTAAAGGGGTTTTTACGAATTCATAAGTGGTATGAGACATTCTATATGTATGCTAACGATGAAACAGTGATAAGAGTCGATAATTACTTCGGAGGCGATCGTGTCGTAGGGCACATCGCTCTTGTTGTATTCCCAGCCGCTGGTGCAGGGGATGATGGGCCACTCATCGTCTGGGGTGGTCCTGCCCTGCGCCAGGGCTTTGGTCCAATCCGCGGAGTACATGCGACACCGCTCGTGCGGGAAGGGACCCTCCGACTTCGGTGGAATGGCTAAAGCGCGTCTGTAATAGACCAACAAATATATAGATACATTCCAAATATTATACTTTTTTATATATATACTTTATGAAAAAATTATGAAAGCGAAATTTTAAGATGCTTGCGCATCACCGTAACCAAAAGTAACACGTTTGAAGCTGCCCGCTAAACCGCTTATAATAGATGGCAGCATTTTCTAAATCACACTCACCCTTTACAGTTTTCAATAAAGAATGTAGATGGCGCTTTCACAGTTTTATGTTATTTATTTATTTATTATATTTCCAGTTTTTTTATTATTTTATTGTAAATAATTATTTGCATGCAATTATAAACTATTTTTAATAATGCCAATGAGGTATAACTTCTCACGCACCCGTAGTGTTGCCGATGCATTGCCACCTTTTAATATTGTGGGCTCCAGCTGCCACACTTACCACACGAAACGCATAATTGTAATACTTCCACATCACGCTGGTTTTTTGTGGGTCATGTTACTTACCCATTCGTGCAACAGCCGAATCTACTGTATGGCCCTACCACATTTCAACATCTACATTTTGTAGGCTGTTACTACTCGTGCACAGCATTTTGTTTATATGGTTTTCGTCCGTTTTCAAAACTAAACCGAACTGAAAAATTCAACGTCACAAGCAACTGCTGTTTTTTTAAATGCGAAAAAAAAAAATCAAAGCGCCTGCAAAAATTTATCGCAAACCTACATAATTCGAAATTGTCTAATACATAACAATGTACATGTATTGTATACTTTTCTCATAAAAAAGATAATAAGTAAACGTAGAATACGCAATCCCAAAAAGTTACAAATCAAAGACACGCCGATTATCGCTCGTAATTATTCGAAAAATATATGACATCAGTTCATCAATCAAAAGCTTTTATAATCAGAATGGTAATCTCAAAATAAGCAACGTTATTAGTGCAAAAGTAGCTTGCATAATTTAATCTTTCTTTTTCCTGCTTTTATCCCACTTAGGTGGGGTTGGAACAACATGTGGATAATGTTGTTGAGGGTATTGAATAGGCTTTTTCAACAGCCAATTGCCAATCTAACTCTTTAAGAAACTCCCAGATTCAGAAAAATTCTCTGTGGGTCACACAAACACTTGATCCGTGTGGGAATCAAACCCACCACCCCCGGCATCGAAGGCAATAGCTTAGCAACTACACCACCGAGTCATCAGCCCGCACAGAATAGTATAAATTTATTTTTAAATAACTTTGTGTAAAATTTACATGGTTGTTGTTGTTTCTTAAATTTACATTACATAAATGGGATATGCACGCAAACATTCTAACAATTACGCAGTTACATCATTCTAATTAGCAAATATAAATCAATTCGCCGGTAAATTGGTGCTGTCCGGTTGGTTGCGGACAAAAACCGTTCAAGGTTCAATAAGCCGCACCAAGGCGCTTCCTGCACAGAGCGGATTTTGATTCCGTTCCTTGGGGGACTTACTAATAAATAACGAACACCAGCACGCGTACCATAAGGCCTTCAACCGCTTGCGTGGTAGGCACAATATGATCCCTTCAAACGACCTTTATTAAAGTTAAAAATCGGCCTATATAAGCCTTTGACCTTCTTCGCTGCTGAACAGCCTTGTTTTTTAAATATTTAGGACACATTTTTCACAACATTGTCTAGTCCCAAACTAAGCAAAGCTTGTACTATGGGTACTAGATAACTGATAAACATACTTAAACATACTTTTCTTTTGTCATATTATAGATATATAACCACCCAGACACTAGAAAAACACTATGTTCATCACACAATATTTTTCCAGTAGTGGGGACCCACACCCTCTGGCGCAGAAGGCAGGTACACTACCCACTGCTCCATTCGGGTCGTCAAAAGCTTTGCATCCTGTTAGAGTGGAATACCTGATAGCATCGTTGTTATTTCAAATTAGATTTAAATTTTAATATAATAGGTTTTTTGGAAACTTTTAACGGTGGAGAAAGAGATGCAAATGCCGTCAATTCAGCGGTTATTTAATCACAAAACGCCCGGTTGATTTTTACTTTATTCGGCTTTTAAGGCCTTGAAATGTGGCCGGCAGCAGGTGTGCTATACTCTGGTAGGGTAGTGCCACGCAGCAGTTCGCCTCGTAATAAGTAATTAAAGGTGAACCACCTGCTCGCTTTCGACTTTTAAAATAAAAAAAATTACTAGTTCGCCTCGTAATAAGTAATTATTAAAGTAGCCTACGGAAGTCGCCATATCAGAGGCATTAGATGTGTATGTTTAGTATGGAGAACTTTAGGTTGCCTCATCTACGGGATAAAACTAGTATAAATACTTGTTATGTACAAGTATTTATTTATGATGACTCCATGGCGCAGTGGCCAAGGTATTGGCTTCGGCGTCGGGGGTCGTGGGTTCGATTCCCACACGGGACAACTATTTGTGCGATCCACAGATAGTTGTTTCGCATCTTGGTGTTTGTCCACGTGAAATTTATATTTGTAAAAACGTCTTTACAACACAGGATAATGTTATCTTAAAGTGAGGGCAATATTTTTCAAGAAAAAAGAAAGAAAAGAAAAGGGTGATTTATACGCGTTTCATCCCGTAAACGTGGGTTTTCCGTTACGCGTAATTTGCTCGTTTGCTCTACATAAATAAAAATTTTATATTCGCTTGTTTCTTGTCGCAAATCTCTTAAAACTCTATATCGAATAATTTCAAGGAAAAAACATTGCTTTGGTAGCCTTTGGGTTTTGATGTGTAAACAAGAACTTTTTTATTTATTAATAATAAGTTTTGAGGAAAAAATGAATCTTTGTTTTGGAAAAAATACTCATTCGTTTAACCAGACAGAGACTCCTGGCCGGGACAGCTATTTTGTAATAGTAATAGTAAACATTTCACGACATTTTTGGAGAAAGCCGCAAACTAAGCAAAGCTCATGCTATAGGATCAACAGATTTCAAAATTCTTTTAGTTCGTCTATATTGAGGGTTACGCAGAACCACGGTGAAAAGGATGTTGAATGAAGTCTTAGGGCTTCGAGCTTATCGAAGAAGAACAGGTCATCGTTTGAATGTGCGTTAAATAGACCTTAGACTAAAGACATCTCGCCTGTTGTTGAAACAGTACGCGGCAAAAATAACAAAGTATCAGATGAAATAAGAATTACTGTGGAGGATAGCTACAATATACGGTGGTAGGGCCACGCAGCCGCGGCTGTTGCACGAATGGGCAGGCTTGTCCGTGTAAGTACCGCGACCTCACAGAAGACCGGCGTAAAGTGGAAGTATAATACTTCCGCGTTTCGTCTGGTGAGTGAGGTTGCCGGAGCCCAATTTTCAAAAGGCCATGGGCGGCGGTATTCATTTAACATCAGGTGAACTGTCTGCTCGCTTGGCAACTTTTCAAATAAAAAAAAATACTAAATCATAAGTGTACGCAAACACCAGTGAAGAAGCGAGTAGCCGCATTCCGTCTAGATTCTGGGCCAGCTCATGGAGAGAAAATCATGCAAAACTGGCATGCAGTGCGTGAAAATGACTTCATTCAACACGAAGACTAGACCTCTTTTAATGCAGACTTAAACCCGTTGGATTAAAAATATAATTAAAGCCTTATCCTGATTTAGACTAACTCCAAGCTTCCTTGAATAAAACATTCGCCGATATGAATATAAACCACATTCGTGCCTAGACGACGGCCCATGCAGGTTGTATCGTCAGGGTCATTTCGAATAAGCTTAGTGAGCATAAGCGTCTATGCGTTTAGTAAGTTCCTTTTGGTATATAAATGGTTATGGTAAAAACATACATATGCCGATAATCACCCGACTAGGCATACCTTTCACACACAATGTTTTTCTGGCAGTGGGTCGACCAACAACTGCAAGCAAGATACGGTTTCATTACCCGCTAGTCAAAGACCTTTTTGAGCTACATCAAGAAACTACATCTTATTTTGAACGTACTATTCGCATGGCGCGCATTTCGCGCACGCAATGCGTAATAAAAATGTTCCGAAGCAGTCATTGATAAGACCGAACGCACACCCCAAATTACTTTAGTTACAGTGAACTTGGACCGAGGTCATTAAGTAGATTAGACTAGAAACACGATCCCAGCAAAAGAAATAGTAAAATGAAATATACGATTTTACAGTATACATATATATAATGCGAACGTTATAGCTAATTAATTCAGTGGCAATTAAGTTTGTTCCTGCAAGAAATTCGATGTTCTTTAAATGAAGACATGTTTATTAGTTAAAACACGGTACTTAAAGCGTGTTTTTTTTGTAGATGATTCGATAAAAAATTGCTTTTTCGAACCTACGCCTTCCGCTTTGCCGACTAAGCGGCCGATGACCTCACGGCGCTAGTTTTAATACCGCGGCGCCGAAAGTTTTTGAGTGCAGTACTTGTCTTGTATCTTGTATTAACTGATGTTTTTGCTTTCAGTCCCGAGACTATTAAAGCTTCATCGGACGCAGAACCGGTGGGCTAGCCAGAACCCACGGGTTTGGACCCTCCGCTATGGGTAGGTTCGCGCATGTGCTCATGCGTGCGTTTAACTACTATGGTGTGTCATCTAAGGGCCGTCGAGGTCGCCGGTTCGGACCGAGACCCCGACGGCCGTCGACTGTGCATTTAGCTAATCGGTGGCTGGGAGCGGTGAGAACCGCCCCGGAACGCGGGTGTACCTTGTGTACGCGTTGTGTGGGTCTCGCCGTGCTCGGAGGCGAGGGCGAACTGGTGTGATTGTTGTTACACTAACTGTGGGTGTAGTGTTATCCGGCGGGACCCCGGGCGGTGGGTCCATCGTATCTAAGTCCTAGTGCAGTACTAGAGTGACTAGCGCCCTAAAAGAAATTGATTCTAGCACGTGGTACTCTATAGGTTTCAACATTAGTCACATTATATTCCTCCATTTATGGTGTAAAAGTAAAGTTGTGGTTTAATATTAAACTTTTATTTGTTGTTTAACGAAGAAGAATTTTGTTGTTTAACAGAGATTTCTGACAATC